TGAAATAGCGGGGAGAGAATTTTTTAAAAAAGAAAAAGAGGCCTTCTTCATGGCCAAATCAGATTAAGTATCGATACCGTCGATACTGGGGTCTTGGCATCGATACTGCATGGTATCGATATCGTGGAGTATCGATGCCGAGTATCGTTAAGTATCGATCGAAAGTATCGATACTTTGCAAGTATCGGATAAGTATCGACATCCCTACTCTATCTCACTCTAGACAAAACAGCCTCGAAAAGTGGCTTCATCGGCGCTCCAGTGCATTGAAGTCTATTTATTCTGTGTATTCTGTGTTTGTTCGTGATTATCAAAATACAAATACAAAATACCCAAGTTCTCTTCCATAAGCACTGAACTCATGAAACTTGTTTACATTTCGCATTTCGAAAATTAACTTCATACACCAGTACCATGTCTCTTAGCTTTTTTTCGTATGTCTGTCTGTAATCTGCGATCTGAAATAGCCCATATAGTCAATTTTCAATTGCAATCTTCCGTCTCAACTTATTCTCTCCTTTGTTCTGTGAACGTCAAGGTAGGTGTCCTTAAGCTCCAACTTTTTTGATATTTTTTTATCTCTATCACAATATTTCTTAGGAATTTGTTTCACTCTACACATGCGACCAGACTTCTATTTCTTTGGGCCCTTTGCCCAGTTGCCCTCACTCAATTTGAATTTGACTCAAAGGAATAATAAATGTTGACAGTAATCAACTTCATTGACCATCTGCATACTGAGACATTACAATTTCTAACCTTTTAGTAATAATTCAAGTCTACAGTAACAATTAAAATCTATATTGATTGCTAAGGAAGGTCTTCTGTTAGACAATGAACGTACGTAGCTCAATTTCTTTTTTTTTTTTTGGAAGAGAAGGAATCGGATGATCGGAACCTGTCCGTGGGCCATTACCAACTGTCCAATTCTATGGATAACACTTTGGATAGGTTAATGTGACCATCCTACAAATCTTTCATGACAAAGTTTAAAGTTTATCTAAAGGCCTCTACAGGCAATCAAATTTTGAACCAATCGGACAGCCTGTCCAATTTTGATGCAAACAGAGTTGCACCATTCTTCATTTCTTGCCGCACAGAACATCTCTGCTAAGTCTTCATTGGAAAATAATTCAAAGTAACAAATTTAGGATTGATGATTTCTGACACTTGGGAATTGGTTTCGGAATTTGATGGTGTTTGAAGGCCTTAAAATTAGATGCATACTGGTGAGGGATAAGAGTTCCACTGATGAAGAAGATGAAAGTTCAGGTTGTCACTTGATATTTTCAGTGCATAGTTCTGTTAACATCGGTAGCATGACAATGGAGGATTCCAGTGTGAATGAACCATAGGGTGTTTGTCAGTCTGGGAAGATATGTGTCTCCAGAAATTTGGATAAACTCAATGTTCGGCAGCCAGCCAGGTTGGCTTAGTGGTCAGTGCGTCTCATTCTAGACCTACAAGTACCGAGTGCCAGTTCCAGTGGTGGCGACAAATGTTACAGGGATAGGCTAGTGAACCTGCAGGAACTGACTCCACCCAGCCTCAGTCTCTCAAAATTTGAAGGTCTAGAGCATGGATATGAACTAATCAAAAGCGATTACTTCTTGCCTAGCAAAGAAGGCCAAAGTTAACCCAAATCAGAGAAAGCTTAAAGCTCTTGATAAGTCAGCCTCAGTGGTGTAGTGGTCAAGGCAGTTCGCTGCCAACACTGAGGTCCCGGGTTCAATCCCCGGAGGTGACTGATATTTGAGGACACTCAAATATCAGTCATCGTGACTGTGGATGACTATGCCACTCCAATACCCTGACCCTTCGAGGTAACAGGGTGCGGGAGGGACATGGTCACCCAGTAAGTAATCTGTCTGCACTGTTCGACTGGGTTGTGATAAATCGGTAATCACTCGTAGTGTGCGCGACTGCCAGCGCTACCTATCAGTGTAGATTGCAACAACACAGTCCAACTCGGTGGAGGCATGGCGGTGCTCCGAAATTCCGTGCTCTGCAGCGTCTGCCACAGTCTTTGATAAAGACCTTCCGTTGGCTATCAGACGGCCGCTGAGCCTTGCGGGAATATTGAGGATACACAATGTGTCAATAGTACGAAGTTAAAAGTTAAGGAGCACGGTCCAACTTCGGGGTGCACGACGGCAGTAGCCAGTTGCCTTGGCCCCTTGGGGGGTGCCTCGCCGGTCAGCCCGGCCTTTACTTACTTACTTACTTACTTACTTACTTACTTAAAGCTCTTGATAAAGAAAACAAAAAAGAATGTTTTATGAAGAGACCGAGACCTATACTTAATTGTGCAGCGCACAGCCAGATAGAGCGAATGATTTATTGTTCTCCCCGTGATCAACTGGAGATAACTTTCCTATCACCCTTGCCATTTCATCAATGTAAAAATCTCGAAAAAAGTCGATCGCCAGTGGGGTTTTGCCGTGTTTAAATGGGGATTTTCATGGCTATCGAGCGATTTTTTATATGTGTGTGTGCATTTCCATAAGATCCCTCATAACAGCTGATAGTATTAGTGTGTATTTTACACGGGTTTTTCGAGACTATCGATAGTCACTGTTCAATATGTCGATACGTCGATTCAATTCTAGACCTACCAACCCTTTCCTACAAAATACCCTGTTCTTTCCTAGTTTCCATAACCCTAGTAGCACAAAGACGTAAAATTTACCAAAAAAAAAATTCGTAAAAAAAGACATAAAATAGACCAAAAATAAAATGCCGATGTAGTCTTTTTTACAGGAATAATTCGTAAAGAGTACAAGATTTTTTACGCAAAAAAATCGAGTTTCTTTCCGTAAAAAGTTATGAGCAAAAGAACTCTTGCTTCCTGAAATTGATTAAAATGATAAATTGTAAAGAAAAAAATAGACTTCTTACCCATCTGAATCTGTAGTCAATTAATTCTCCTTGAGATCAACTTTCAAATTATTATCTACCTGTCGGGAATTGAACCTGGGACCTGCCTATCAGGAATCGAATGCGCTACTTACTTACTGAGCAAACGAGGCTTCTGTATTAGAGGGGCGAATTTGCGCTGTATAAGTGAATATTTTTATTGTTGAATATGCGTGAGAACGTATTGCGGAATATTTTTTGAATTTGGAAAAACTGGATAAGGGCAAAAACTAATATTTATCATGGATATTTTAAAGGTGGTATACTTACTTTCAAAAGTACCTTTGTTGTTCAGGAATTTGTGAAAAAAATTATGTACATTTTAATAATATGTCCCCCCTTTTTTCTTTTTCTTTTCTTAAATATTATTAACATGCATCAATTTTTTATAATTTTTTATAAGAATGTCTTAACTATTTTAATGAAGATAAGTTATTAAAATCTTCTCGAACTTTTAAAACTCTGGCTTCTTTGTTCAGAACAATGTGTTTTTGTATCCAGTTTTCGGGCTGTACTTTTTTTTACAAACAATCTTTAGGGGACATCAGAATTTTTTGCTTGATTTCCTTGTCATAAAAACTACAAAGGTATCTCCTGTTCGGTCAATTCAGCGAATTTTCCGTTCAGACATTTTTTTCCTAATTTTCTACATGTAGAAAATCGCGAATTTCTTACGTACAGATTTCAGTTCAATCCCCCAGTTTTTTTTTATGTCTTTGATCACAAATTTTTTACGTTAAGTTCTCAGACTCTGATTTTTTACGAGTTCTTTTACGTACATCTTTCGTACTTGTAAAATTTACCAGTTTTAATTTTTTTTTCACGAATTATATTACAAGATGTGCTACTACTTAGGGAACTTTGCCTTCTTTAACTCCATTTCTAAGTAAACTGTATTAATTATCTAAAGTTCTTTATATCTTAAAGCTTCGATTTCCCATTTGAATTTCCTAACTTTTTCACCATTTTCCTCATGAAACAAAACCTATTTACGTACTTTTTCCCCTCGAGTTTAGCGCTTGTTTCATTTGTGTGTTAGCTTTGATACAATGGGGGATTGTTTACGTTCAATTTTATAGTTGAACATTTTCCAATTCTTTTTCTTTCCTTTAAATCTCTTCGAAAAAGTCCCAATATGACTTATCACTCTTTAAATCAGTAATTCACCCCTTCAACTTAACATTAGTGGTACTTTTGATGGTTCCACCTCTTGCAGTGAGAGAAACTGAATCGCCGAGTTTCTGAGCTTGCTCCTTGGTTTGTCCATGTCCTTCGGTTTGATTTGTGCAATTTCCTTAATGGATAATCTTACTTATCAAAATATTCTTTGACTGTGCGTGGAGTGTAATTTTGTCTTGACAGCATTAGTACCATGTGAATCAAAATTTCAATCTATTAAACTCCATTTTTGCCGCAGGGTAGGGATCCTTTATCTATCACCGCTATCAGAGTGCTGTCGAGAACCTAATCACAACTGTCGGTATGTTCTGTTGAGCAGTTATGTAAATATAAAACGGCTATATTTGTAAGTCAATTTCTTTTGTATGTGAACAATAACTGAATGTCTAGAATTCTAAACATCTGACTGTATCTCAAGTATATGTCGGAAATATTTATCAAGGTCAGAGTTTGTGAATCCTTGGCAGCAGTTAATGAATTTCCCCTAAGTAACAACTTCGTTTAACAAAGTTTGGTAAGTAAGTACAGCTCAGATCCACCATCGTACACATATAATTATTAGTCCAAAATCAGTGTAAGAAATGCTTTGAGGGTAAAGTGTTCTCTATTCTCCAAAATTTGTTAGCAGGGGTGCAAATTGCGCAGAGGCTGAGAGATACTTGTTATTTTTCTAGATTTTTCAGATTTGCAATTCTTGTGGAATACTTACTGTGACTTTGGCACACATTCTAAAATTAACAAGAAATTCCACAAAAGTTAGATCAGCACGTTGTGTTGACCTTCTTGCGAGAACCTAGCGCGAAGCTGAAAATTGAAGAGGCATGAAACAATTTTCACTTTGGTTTGTGAGATTTTCTTATAAACTTGGCATCCACATATTTGTCCGATTTTTACCAAAATTATCTCTTCCATCACCATTATAGCAACAACATCAGCATAAACATTCTTGATAAGAGGTGGCATAGTATCACAGAGAACCCTAAGAGTTTTGTATTAAATACTAATGATGCTCCTCTGGAAGAATTAAAATAGACCATTCTAAACTACATTTATCAACAGCTCTTGCTGACGATAACCTGCTACCTTCATCAACTTAATCTAAAGTTCAGAAAAATAGATTACCCAACTAATGTACTATCATCTCCATGCAAACGGTCAACCTTGTATCAATTGAGGAATGATAAATACAGTTTTTACTATGCCTTAGAATTGTTACCATAATTATTACCGTTTGGAGTCAGGAAATAAAAATAATTGCTTCATTGTTTGCATTTTTTTTGGCCAACTAAGCTCACAGTGGAACTTTCATCTACTTGGTGGTAATGAAGGTAAATATTTATTCTCCTCTTATTTGGATGAGAATTACCTACATCATGTATGACATACTGTGACACTGGGTGCCGCTATTAGGTACTCCACTGATATTGCAACGATACTGGAAAAATTCTTAACTCAGTGTGTTATTTTGCAAGCTTTAGGTAAGAATTAGTCATATTTCGATCCTTTGAGACTCTTTCATCATTCAGAACTAAAAAACTGAATTCAGATTGAACAGGCACATATCTCATCATCATCTCGCTTATCAAACAATGCTTTGCGTCCTCCTCCGCTTCTCATCTTGATGAAAGCAGGGGCAGGTGAAGATTTGAAATGCACGCTACAGATTCTTCGGTTAGTTGCCTGGCAAAAGTGGTACCCGCCTGACGTCATAAAACTTCAAGATGGTAACAAATATCAAACTGGGACGATAATTAAAGAAAACGACTGTGGTGGTTACAAAGAAATACCTAAATGATCATTCAATTTTTCGAACCCTTACTATTTAAAAAAATTAATTTGAAGTACGTATTCCGAGACTTGACACTTTACTTGGAGAACATACAGTGCCCAGCATGAGCATTGGAAACGTCATTCGTGAACTCAAAATGACCGACTTGTTTCTATCCTTGAAGTTTGTTGTCAATTGAAAGTTGAGGGTTTCTAAACACAAGCTTGACAATACCTCTTAGACAGGCCATACCTGAAGATTGGTTTAGAGGTCAAATAACAACTGGTCAGTCTAACAGGAATTGGCTAGGAGAATTTGATTGCTGATAAGGCGAGTTGTTTTCGTTTAATGGTAATGTGTATCTTCCAGGCAAGCCTTCCATCTAGGTAGATGGACAATCAGATGTTACACTGAATCTTGCGAAGATGGGAAGGTTCCATTGATACTTACAAGAGGGCGATCCAGTTTGCGAAGAGTGAACATTGCTTGAACAGATTTTGTCTCATTGAGTTTGAGTTTCCATTGGTGCAATCATATCCCTGGACCATCCATTTAGCTCTGTACAGAAACTACGTAAACAAACTGATTGCGGTTGACGCACGAGTCGTAAGGCAGTAAGTTGGAATTTTTTAGCCAACGTTCGTTAAAAAACCAGAAAACTGGAAATCTCAATACAGAGGGAAAAAGCTCCTTTGAGCACAACTTTCCATCCAAGAGATATGCTGTTTGGCACAAGACTGGTAATGACCATTCTGGAAGGCAACTGTCAATGCGTTTCGGGTCTAATTGGGCCCATCCTCAGTGCAGCGCAGCCTCCTGAATTTTTAGTTACCAAGCTCAGAGAGGTCTTGAAAATCAGCCCGAGACTTGGGCAAGCGGTCGGTGGTGGCAAGTTAACTTGCACCATATAGTGAGCGGCTATCCAAACAGCCCCACATAAGCCTTGGCAAGGAGTTTTCACAAACTGATCGTGGTAGACGCACAAGTCGTAAGACAGTAAGTTGGAATATTTTAGCCAACGTGCGTTAAAAATCCAGGAAACTGGAAATCTCAACTCAAAGGGAAAAAGCTTGTTTGAGCACAGTTTTACCTTTAAGAGATACGCTGTTTACTTGCTGCCAGCGACCGCTTGCTCAAGTCTCGGGCTGGCTTTCACGACCTCTCCTAGCTTGACAGAGTTGCAAAATGAAATTTCATTTCGGCCCCAAAGTTTCACAATCAGTGAAATATTCCTATTAATGAAAAAAATGTATCTAACCCTCTAGAATCACTGTCAGAGCTATTTTGAGTCGTATTTTACATTTACTCATTCAGAGGCTTTCACTCATTGCGACTCTCATTTTCTTACTGTTTCCGCCCAGGCAAGATTGTTGGGAGTATCTAATCTTTAAATTGAAGAATATGTTGTGATGATTGTGTTGGTGTTTAATTGTTTACAATCGTCAAAAGGCGAGATGTGTTCAAAGTTACCCTAATCTAGGAGATAATTTTGAACACCTCTCATTTTTTAAAGTCAGGGTGTGGCAAGAGCCCCCCTAAATCTTTGACATAAGAAGGTTATTTGTTTTTTTACAAAAAGAGGAGCAAGTTCTCGTATTGTCTGTCAACTATTTTTTTTGTCTAAAATCCATCAAATGATGCCCAGTGAAAAAAACCAATATCAACCCACACAAGTCAGTCATTGTTATTGCATATCTTTTTGGGATCCACCTCCCTTCCCCACCTGACATCGGCTCTCACTCGGCCGCAGCCAGAAGAAATGCCCTACATTTAAACTTCCTGCTGTAATGTAAATTCATCCACAGGATCACAAGAATGAGTAATGTCTGATCTGTACAGATTGGTCCTAATGCTTGAAAGAAACCTCCAAAATAGTTCGAAGTTACCAGAATCGAAATGCGTAAATGCATTTGTCTTGCCATTGTTTTACTGTCATCAAACAGTTAAAATTAATGAAAAAATACAATAATGAATCAGGAATAAATGTAATTTGAAAGGAAGGGGGTAGGGAACACGAATTATGTATGATTTTTCACTATTTTCAGCTGTTTCACAAGTCTCCGGATGTAACATAGAAAGTTGCAAAAAGTGAATGAAATTCGTGAAATTTCATTTTAGAATCTCTCGTGAAACGCAACTCTGAAGGAGAAACAACTTTTCGCTTTCTTTACGCTTCAGTGGCATTTTTTCCTAAATTTGATTTTTCAGGCCTGTAAAGGTAGTTCTTAGCTTCATTCTTGCCAAGTTTGAAGGGAATTGCTCCAACAGGATTTTTGTAAAGTGTTGATGGAATCTCGGTAGGGTAGCTTTATATATTTTATGATGGTGCAGATTCATAACACACCAGAAAAAAGTGATCCGAAAGGTAAGATTTTAGAAATAAATCAGATTTGCAACACACCAGAAAAAAGTGATCCCACAGGTAAGATTTTAGAAATAAATCTGCCGGATAGAGCTGCTATTCTTTGAACTTTGTAAAGTAGATCTTCATGCCAGACTATATTGAATGGCTGTGACATGTCCTAAAAAGCTAGCAACATCATTAATTTCCTGATTTCGCAGATTCTGCAATGATGGTAAGAAGACGGTTGACCTGCGGGATTGTTTAATATTTCCTGCAGAATGCATATTGGTGGTCCGGAATACTTGCAGCCACTTCCGTCCAGAGTCAATTATATGTATCACCAGTGGTGCCCAACCGGGGCTTTTCATACGAGCAACTATTCACTTTTGATATAGGGGGGGGGAGCTCTGTTTTTTTCCCCCTCCAGAATTTTGACTCCCCCCCTAGAATTTTCACTTCCCCCCAGAATTTGCACCCCCCTAGAATTTTGACTTCGCCCTCTAGAATTTTGACTTCCCCCCTAGAATTTTGACTCTCCCCAAAATTTTCACTTCCCCCCTAGAATTTTCACTCCACACCCTAGAATTTTCACTCCGCCCCTAGAATTTTGACTTCCCCCCTAGAATATCCCCCCTTCGGATATCTCCATCTGTTTGTATCCCCCCTAGCTCCAAATAACATCAAAAATGTCAACATTTTCCGGGGGAGGCCCCCCAGACCCCCCCTTGCCTGAGGGATATTCCATACCCCCCAGACCGCGCGGTGGGGGGCCAAGAACTTCAGATTAGGGGGGGGGGGGCTC